CCCATAGGTTGGTTATTAAAAAAACAAAAGTTCTGAAATTTTTTTCTACGTTTCCATAAAGGACAATAGACAATACTTTAATGTCATATCTTTATACTGTTCCACCCACAACCTTTGCATTTTACAATAAATTTTCAATGATCACAACTGGTTTAACATTTCTTTATTTTATTTTATTATGTATATTTTTGTTTGTTTGTTGTTGTAAATATTTAATATTATTTATTATCATTGTTCATGTACAAGCCTAAATTCTTAGTTGTTAAATATTATTTTTAAAAATTTAATTTTTTATATATATGAAGGGATTATTGCTTCACAATTATTCAATATTAAACACAAGAATGGAGATGGGCTTGGTAATTTATTTTTCTTTAAAGAACCACAAAATCGTTGGAATAAATATTGTAAACAATGGTGGGATATATTTATTTAATTTTTTTCATATTGAACATTTCATATTTTCTCGTTAGATATTACTGAGATTTATTAACAATATATGTGTATTATTTTGTTATGTGTATATGTATATATGGTAAAAAGGAAGGGATGTGGAAAATAACTATCAAGGATTTGCAATTCGTAAACGAAGGCTAAAAATGTTTTACACTACATCACTGCTCACATTGTGTATTAAGAAAAATAAATATTGAAAATGATGTACAATAGATTAAGATTTCTTAAAAAAAAAACAACTATATTTTGTTCCAAAAAAATTTAAATGTTTTAAATCATCGAGCCACCTCAACAAAAATATGTGTATATCCCGAAATGCCTTTTCAATCACCTGAACGAATAGGTTAAAAAAATCAAAAACAGAATCAACCGAGATGTTATGCAATGAATGCAGAGAAAGGTTTCTGTTTTGGATTTAACCGGATAAAGGGGTACTTTGTTTCAAACATTGATGTTTTGAATCGATAAAGAATTATATTGATAGCGCTTTAAAATCACAAATACAATTTTACGGCGAATGAGGAGGGGTCAGATATAACGTAACCGGCAACACATCCATACCCTTGGCTTAAACCACTTTACTGTCATAATTTCCCTTAGGAGAGTAGTCGATTTTAATTAATTTTCAGAACTGTCGAAAATTGATTGCCAAGGTTTCATAGAGTTTATAAAACCATGCATCAGAGGACTGTTTATTGTCTCTCTAATCTGAAAAATTTCGAAGAAAAATCAAAATATCAGTCGCATGTTCGGCTAAACGTTCAGACACCTACAATTATATAAAAAAGATGAGTGGTCCCTGCTTCCTGGCCGAATATATAAGAAGTATCAGGGTGCGGAACGACAATTGGAGTGCTGTAGTCAAACACTCAAGTCCGCACGTTTCAATGCCTACCGTTTTTGATATATTTGGAAATATTTCCACCACTTATACCGTAGATGAAATCAAAAACGGTAGGCATTGAAGCGTGCGGACTTGAGTGTTTGACTACAGCACTCCAATTGTCGTTCCGCACCCTGATACTTCTTATAGCCTGGGAGGTATACAGCATGATCCCGCTTCTGAAGCCTGGTGCCAGCAGAGTATCGTGCAGGCCGATGATATTTTGTCCGCACTTTAGTGTTTGTGTTCGGTCATCCACTTGTCGGTACGCACCCAGAAAGTCCCTGAAATTTGGGAAGTGGCCCGGAAATCATGCCATCAGGCCGATTAGCCAGTAGAAAATACTCTTGAGGAGAGAAGTGGTTTCCATCAATGAAGACCATTCCATGTCAAAGAAACAGAAAACATTTTTAAGACCATTCTGAATTTTGAAATAGTTGAGCCGAACCATCCGAGTTGATTCGTACAAGCTGATTTTACTTCTGTTGCCAGTAGGAAAATCAGTTTTCCAGTAGTTCAACACTAACGTGGATACCGTAAAATGTCCAGTACTGCAACTGCTTGGCATATCATTTCCACATATATTAGTAGAGGATTGAGCCAGAACAGATTGTGCAAACGAATAGTCATGGTGGCTCTTGACCTATAGAAGGCCTTCGACACAGCCTAATCTTCGTCCTTGTTTGAAACGTAGCATAATCAACTGTAATGTCGACGCGAGTCATATGTGGAATTCAGAAATAGGAAGTGGTAGAGTGAAATAGGGAGTTACCCAAGGTGTGGGAATTTCACCGCAAATGATCAACCTCCACAACTACGGGACGGCGTAACATAAAGGTCCATGGATAACAGATTCCGGCCACTTATTATCCAAGATATTGGTGTAACGTTTGACAGAAAAAGGAAGAATATCCTCAAGACATGGACCGGCAACACTTGAAGCAACGATAAGGATACCATGTTGACTTTTTATAAATCAGTAGGCCGGCCAGTCTTGAAAGTAAACAGTGGCAATTTGCTTTGCGAATGTAAGTTATATGCAGTGGAAGACCTATCAGAATGCCGCCCTGAGTACTGTAACAGGGTGTTTCCTAATGACACCAGTGGACCATTTTCTAGAGGAAGCGAAAATCTCACCCTTCTATTGATACAACATAATTTGGTTGGTCATGTCCATGATCTGGAGAGAAAAATCCAAAGGTACAAACCAGTCTGAATAGCATGATTACTGATGTAGTCGCTCAAGCAGTAGGACAATACTGTATGAACGCTATGCACTGGTAAATCAGGATGGTCCCACAACAATTTTTTCTTCCATCGGCAATCGCAACATTCTGTATTTTTCCAAAATTTTTACGGGTTGACTGACTGCCCAGAACCGAATTAAGTGAGTCTACTTTTTTAACAAAACTAAATGAAAGAAAGAAATTATCAAAAATCATCTGAAAATCAAACTAGAATGATTGTATATTGTTTTCAAAGGTCTTGATTTGTTACAAATTCATAACAATTGTGATGCAGGGTAAAACAATTCGGCCATACCAATCCAATATCATATTTTGTGTATATTCTTTTATGAGGTTATTATGAAAGCAAACAAAATCTGATTGAATGATATTCCTTTAAAATTATTGCCAATACTTTTTCACTATTTGGTTTTGCAGCCTCATTGCCAAACATATGTATTTTCACTCTCAATAAAATGTCACTTAATAGAATAGTTAACAAAATAAATTAATATTATTTTTATTATTTATTTTCATTTTATACCTTAATAAAGTATTCATGTGTTTTTTTCGTGTATTGCAAATTTACTTAACTTGTTGGAGTTACTTTTACAGTGGCCTTACGCATTTTTTATTTTATAGTTGTTTTTGTTTTGTTTTTTTTTTTCATATATAAACTAGTCTAAAAAACAATATTTTCAATATCTAATATATAATATTAAATGTTGTTGTTGTCTTGTTTTGCTCTTCTAATATTTGTTCTAAATATATAATTTAATTTTAATGTACTTTTGCCATTTATGTCACATTTTGTTGTTGTTGTTGATTACCTCAAAATATTGTTGTTGTAGATGCTGTTGTGTTGTGTTACTAAAAAAACTTATGCAGCCATTGCTAGAGTATTGTACAACGTCCTTTATTTCTATTTGATTGTGTGAAATCTGTGCCAATGGCACTTCCCCCCGTACTGGTACAACCCATTAGTTCACGAAATACATCACCGATTTTGTAGTTATATCTGCAAGAAGAGAATGGAACAAGGCAATATGGTATGAAATAAAGTACTCTGTATTTAAAAAATAACGAAAAAGAAAAAGAAATAGAAAATAAATATAATTCTACTAAGGAAAGCTTAAATGTTGTTTCTCTTAATCGTATTAATATTAAATTAGAAAATGGTACTTACTGTGCGGAGCATTCCACATAGCCACAGCGCCAATGTTTCCGTACTAAGGTTGAAATATCTTTAAGTTCCTACAATCGATGAAATGGAAAGAAAAGAAGATAAGGAAAAAATTAGAAATTATATTTATGTATTGTTGTATTGTTCCATTAAATGATAATCATAATATTTTAGATTTTAATGTCAATGGGCTAATAACAACCAACTCGCAGATTTATTTATATCGTACATAAATGTGTATATGCAAAATATAGTTTAGACATATGATAATGTGAAGATGACAAAAAAGCAGATTGTAAAAATAGTTTGTCAAAAAACATGTAGGTGTTGATTCTCATTGCAGAGGTACGTTAATATTTCAAATGTCATTAAGGGATAATATGGCGTACAAAAATGTAGAAGTTCCTCCTCCATTTGTGCTTTGTCATTAATGCTCCGACCTAAAATCGAGCAATATATGGGAGATATTTTTGCAAATATAATTCTAAAATTGTCCACATTATTCGTAAACTACGAAATATATTACCAAAATGTATCACATCTGGTCGGTCAAGATTGATGCAAATGCCCACCATATTAAAAGTTTAATGAGAACTAGGGATACTAGGGCTCTAAAATTATCTGCCAAGGCGATAAATAAGCTAGTTAGCTATTCCCAGGTAGAATAAGTCCAGTTGCAGCAGTCAAGAAAAAAAACCAGCCCTATAAAACAAAAACGTTAAGGAGCGTTATAAATTTTGTAGAAAATTTAAAATCGGAGGATTGGAAACATGTGATTTTGCCCGATCAAACTACCCGTTTCTAATCAGATGACAAAACATATTACTGGCGCCGCTCACATGAAAATCTTCAGCGAAATCAGAGATATTTAATAGTTTGGGGGTATTTCACATGGTGGAACGTTATGATAGAGGCTGTTTAAGTTTGATACTTTGGCCTACAACTTCCCGAGCCCAGTCGATCACGGATGCGGATTGACAGCTCGGGTACAACCTCTGCATGTTCCCTCTGCGGACACCGCAGAGCGTATATACCAACGGGCGACAGTTGTTGTTGGTTTGCTCCCTTTGCTTGACACTCTCTCACTGGAATATGTGTATGTAGTTGTAGATGAACAAATACAAAGAATACTAGGATCCCAACGATCCTCTGCGATCACTAAGAGCCTCTGCGATCTACGTGAACCTCAGGATTCACTTGCTAACTAACTCTTGGCGAGCTAACATCTACGTGTTAGCACCAACAGGTCTTGACGCCACCACCCCATATTACATAAGGTAATTTATTTGTTGTTTACGAAAAAAGAAGAACATCACCAATAAAGCCAATAATTAAATATATTAACTAATAATCTTATGGTTTTATTTTTTTCTATCTTTTATGTGCATTTACACCAACTCGCGCAATTCGCCACTTACACCATTAACTGCTTGGAACTCTCGTTGTCGCTTCATCCCGCCCCCTTGAGTTATTTTTTGATCACCCCAAATCATCACCACGGCGAGGAGTAGAGCAAGTACCTCGCCTAACAGAGGGTATAATGCTAATTTAGATAAAACATTTTGAGAAAACTGCAAATCCCCAGGAACAGTTACAATTTCAATAAAATAGAGATTTTAACAATTTAAATTGTTCAAATGCCAGCAAAAAACCTGTTTCTTAATTCTATCGAAAGTTTGCGAACACTTTAAATAGGAGACTAACAGTTACAAAAGAACTCCAACGAACATAGATGAACTCTGGCAATGTAACAAAATACTAGTTGAAATCTTACAAAAATTGGTGGAGAGTGTGCAAAGACACATTCAATTTGTAAAAAGGAGCAAAGATTGTGAACAAAATATTAATAATCGCTAATATTTGTACGAATTGAGTTATTTATATTTTTATTTATTTTGTATTAAGATTTTTAATTTTGTAACCAAATCAAATCTGAAACATCTATATAGCTCATTCTTTAAAATTTTTTGTAAGGGTTGAAGGGAGGAATTTTAATAAATGTTGTTATCTGTTCAGATTTCGATATAGCTCCCATATACATTTTATTTTCTTTTCTTTCTATTAACTCGAAATTTGGCATGGCGTATCAAATTGAGCCTGATGTGTACTAATTTTCGGTAATATCGATTGAGATTTAGATATGGCTTGCATATAAAGTTTCGACCGATTTTATGTAAATGGGCCACAAAAATGCCAATGTTTGTCCGATTTTCCACAACGTACTGAAATTACTACAGGTTGACGTTTAGATATAGCTCCCATATATATTTTTGTCCGATTTTGTATAAATGGTGCACCAAACATCCACTGTTTTTTCGATTAAGAAGCAATTTTGCATAGCGTATTGAATTGAGTCTAGAATGTTGCGTGTTAAGTTTGGTTGAAATCGATTCAGATTTATATGTAACTCGCATATATATTCAGGTTTTGAGATAGATTCCATATATACATTTTCATTTCATCTAATTGGTGTACCAAATATCTAAAATTTGTCCGATTGAAACGAATTTGTGCACAGGATAGTGCACATAAGTATCATATAGTCGGTGCCGTTCGACTTTTGAACTTTTAAGGATGATTGAGTCACGTTATCGGACTTGCTCTAGGTTTGGTAAAAATATTTCGATGTAAAAGGTTTGGATACAATCGAAGACTTTATTTCCTTGATAATGGATTTACAATTTTCAAATTTTTGGCACTTTATGGGAGAGGTATCAGAAGAATCTAAGTTTTTTTTAAATAATACAATACCGAATTACTGCAGGGGGTCTAATGCTGAAGATGCTGTAGCCTTCTAACTTTTTATTAGTTCTAAGAGCTTACTTACCTGTGAATTTGCCTGCGTTTCATTTATTGTATCATATTTATTGCCAACGACAATTATACTAAAGTCACGATGACAAAAACTGTCCAAAATTTGATCTCTCATTGATCTGCAATACTGAAAAGAGAAGAAAGACACATTTTTTATTGTTAACCTTTGTTTTTTGGATGCCATAGTTGTAATATACATGTGGTTAAAAACTGTGTATCTAAAAACGAAAATAATTCTACCCTTCGTAAAATATTTTTTTTTTTTGGAAAATACATGTCGATTTATTATTTTCTGCTCATACACCAGTTAAATCTTTGTTCTCGATTGTGTAAATTTTAAGTTCATGGATAGCTATTTGCCTATTGTTCCTTGTTTTGTACAGTCGAATTCGGTTATACGAAAACACCTGATTACAAAAAATTTTTTCTCTTAAGCAGGATTTTCAATTAAAAGAACTTCGGATAAGTGAAACTCGTTGGGCTTAAAGAAAGTTTTCAAACAATATCTGAAAATTCGTGAAATTTAAAAACCATATTATAAAATGAATTGAGTAAGAACTTCTTTTTTTTCGTAGACATTTGATTGGAAGGTTGGAAAAATGTGTAACAAAAGTTTAGGGTTGCACATATAAATTTTAATGAAGTTCGCCAATACCAAAATGATATGTTTTTCTTAAACGGTGCTCGTTTTATATATATTTGTGTTTTTGCAACAAAAAAGTCTTTCTCTTATACAGATTTTAGTTTAAAATTCTTATTCTTCAATAAACCGATTTTTTCGATAAAACGGCGTTCGCTTATCCGAATTCGACTGTATTCAATTGTAATGCGTAAGAACAAAATCATCTGCAGAATCCTTAGAATATTCGCTGATAAATTTCGTGTAACAGGTGCACGGAGCGTATGCGCAATTTATAACTACAAATTATTTATCATACGCCACCGGGAATTTCATAAGTGTTTCCACTCAACGTTTTGTTTCTTACTTTGTGCTCATTTATTACACATTTTGTGTTTTTTTTTTTTTGAACTCAAGGCCATCGGATTTGGCTTTAAGTAGAAAATGGGCGTTCATCATGCCACAATTACACATCTTATTAAGGTCTCTGCTTTATTTATGGCTTCTTTAAATTACTACTTACCCGGAATGTTTCCAAGTTTCCCATATCAAAGACCAAGACATAGGCATGAACTGTTCTCAACCCCAGTGGATGGCCGTTATTCCATTCAGCAAAATTATCCGCCGGAAACCGTTTCTGTTTCCATTTTCGGTTGGAATTTCGTTGTGGCAATTGTTGCCAGGTTGTGTTTAGGAGATTAGGATTTGGTTGGTGAGCCATTGTTTTTGTTGGCGAATAATTTAAAAAGAAAATTAGAAAAGTTTTAATTGGCCAATGTTTCATTTTCTATTCTTTGTAAATATTTATGATGATGATTACTTAATTTGGTAGGTAGATGGAAGTGCATGGATGGATGTAGATGGGAAGATGTTCAAGATGAGAGTTATTTGTTTGGTTTCTTTTTCGTTTTGGTATTTGGTTAATAACTTTAAGAGTTTCATCATGAGTGGGTGTGTGTGTGTGAGAAAAAAAGGAGATTTGTAGAGATTTCTTGATTGCCATCCAATTACCTGGGGTGGAACATCGATTACCATCAGCTCTCGTATACAGGTATCACATACCAAACAGCTTTTGTACACTTTTCTTCGGGTTGTGGTTTGATGTGTCTTGGGGAAGTCATGGTAGAAAAATTGCTGCAAAAAGACAAACAAACGAACACAATCACAAACATATATGAGAAAATTTAATGCTAACTGGTCAATAAGTGTATTGAGGGGATTCGAGAATACTTAACAATCTTAATGAGTCAATAAACTGGAAATATTCGTTGTTCGTATGTTCCACATTTTGTTTTGTTGTTTTTTTTTTTCATTTACAAGTATTTCCACTCAAAAGGTCATACGATATAACAAGGTTATATGAGGGTGTAATATTTTCAGCATGAAATTTATTTACCGTCAATATATAAAAAAATTAATGGAATTTCAGTGTTAGTGTAATCGGCTAAATAAAATATTTATGGCTGCAATGATTATATTTGATTTATTAGGAAATTGCCTTTGATGCTCGGTTTATGAGGGTATTTTTCTTTCGAAACGAAGGTAATTTAATTTAGTAGACACTCATATTTTAACATTTATTGTGCCCAATTTAAGCAGGCAATTAGTATAGTATATTTTGATTATTTTCAGACTAAAATTAGGAATATTGCCTTAATACCCACTTTTAGGGAAGTGAAAAAAAACTCCCAATTCAATTTAAATTAAAGATTAAGTATCAGAAAACTCATTGAAAATGTTATTACATGTAAACTCGATTATTATTGACGTAGACTTGAGGCTGAAGTGTCCGTCCAGCTGGTAAATGTCTGTCAAGCTGGTGACCACGATAACTCTCGAAAAGAAATTGCATATTTCATCGTAGTAATAATTACATATCTACATCATGTTCGAAGATGAGGAATGTCAGACCACTCCTTCTTGTACCTCCCCTGCGAATTGTCAACAGTTTGCTGAACAATATACTTATTATATCCTGCGCAAGGTTTATCCGTTTTGACCCAAAAATAGTTTTACTAAAACTATATCCTGATCGAAGGTGGAAATTATTGGCCCTCTACTTCTGGTACCTCCCCTTTCAAAGGATCCACATTTGAAAGTATCTTATAATGCGAACGGAGTATCCAACGGATGGGTTCCATCTTCGGATTTGCTTCAGGTTTGGGAGAAGTTGTACAATTTGCAAAAATTGTATCAAATCGGATATTTTGCTAGCTTGATATTAGATTGACAAATGATATTAGATTGACACCAAAATGCCAAATTACAACCAATTCTGATGGAAAACGGGCCCAAAATACTGAATATTGGGAGGTACCTTTATATGGGGCTAACCTCAAACTTGGTTCAATATTAATAATTATTAATATATGAACCAATTATTATATATGAAGGGTATAATTATAATTATACCCTTCACCACACTGTGGTACAGGGTATTATGTCTTTGTGGATATGTTTATAACAGGCAAAAGGAAACGAGATAGACACATGGTTCCTTTTGAGAATATGCATAGAATCACTTTCTGAGTCGATTTATGCATGTCCGTCTGTCCATCTGTAGATGTTAAATTGTAAACAAATTACAGGTCGCATTTATAATCCGATTTGGATGAATTTTAGCACAAGTCACGTATTTGGCCCAAGGACGAACCCTATAGCTCGCATATATAGTTTCGTCCGATTTAAGGTAAATGGTGCACCAAAGTCTCAATATATAATTCGATTTGCACGAAATTTGGCATGGAGTACTGAATTAAGTCTAGAATGATGTGTGCTAAGTTTCGCGAAAATCGGTTCAGATTTAGATATATCTCCCATATATAGTTTTGTCGGATTCTATGTAAATGGTGCACCAAAGTTCCTATATATCTTTCGATTTGCATGAAATTTGGCACAGCGTACTGAATTAAGTCTAGAATGATGTGTGCCAAGTTTCGAGAAAATCGGGCCAGATTTAGATATAGCTCCCGTATATATTTTCATCCGATTTAAGGTAAATGGGTCACCAAAGTCCCTATATATATTTCGATTTGCAGGAATTACTAAATTAGGTCAAGAATGACGTGTGCCAAGTTTCGAGAAAATCGGGCCAGATTTATGTATAGCTCCCATATATATTTTCATCCGATTTAAGGTAAATGGATCTCCAAAGTCCCTATATATCTTTCGATTTGCACGATTTGCATAGGGCACTGAATTGGGTGTAGAATGATGTATGCTAAGTTCCGTGAAAAAGGTTCAAATTTAAATATAACTCCAATATATATTTTCGTCCGATTTAATGTAAATTGTGCACTAAAGAACCAAAGATTGGCCGACCCGCACACAATTTTGTGCAATGTGCTGAAGTTACTATAATCTTGTGTGTGTCAAATGAAATTGCTATGTTTGCATAGAGCTATATTTTTTAATTTTGAACTATGGTATATATATATAGGCCGATTTGCAAAACGAACTGAAATTAGTATAAATTAATCTCGGGCCAGTTTCCTTGAAAACGGTTCAGATTTAGATATAGCATAGCTTCCATATATAATTTCGACCTATTCATGTTGATCAATGGGTGCTTGATTGATATTACATTTTAAACAGTGAAGTATACCAAATAGCATGCGTATAGTTTGCTTAAAGTCTGTTTAAAAAGTATGGAATATAATGGCATGTGTAAGAAGTGATGTCGGTTTACTTATAGATAAAGACGACATCTGTAAAGATACATATGTAGAATATCCCCAAAGTGGTGAAAGGTATCATATAGTCGCCCCAGTCCGACTTTACTACTTTCCTTACTGGTTTTGGTACGGATATGTGGAAAGGTATATTCCATTTGTAATACCAAAAATCCTAGGAGTCTGTGCAAAGTTTCAGAGCTCTGTCTTAAATGTTGCGATCTCTATTGTGATTTCAAGAGACAGACAGGCGCACATCGAAGAGAATTTTATTCTGATCAAGAATATTTCCAGTAGCAAATTTAATATACAATCCACCTTATGGTGGAGGGTATAAAATGATACAGGGATATTAGGTTTTAAAAATCCATCAATTGCATTCACTCACCTGTAAAATGCTTGTTTTGCCGACGCCAGAGGCCCCCAAAAATGCCGCTTTAAGGGGGCCCTGTAGCCATGGGGGCTCTGCACCACCCTCCAGAGTGATGCGCTATGCTGAGATGCACTTGTTTTGTATATGAATTTCCATTGCGATCGATATCTTTGTTGATTTCGTTGTGGAATTATCACCGACATAGTCAACGCTGCGTGTGCTGCCAATTAAAAGTTTCTTTGAATTTGTCGGCGAAATAGTGCTCCACATTATATTTAGAAAGAACGCCAGTTTGTAATGATGCCTCGGGTGGTGGAGGGTGTGGTGGTTTTGGTGTTGGTGGTGACGGTGACGGTGTCTGTGATGTTGTTAATGAACGAAGAAGGAAGATACACAGGTCTAGAAATTCAGCAATGTTCCTGCTTGCTTTGTTGCTATATACCAATGTATGTGTGTGTGCGTATTTATCCTTGGCACGTGTGGATCTTTGGTGGCAGATAATCAGGAGTTTGTTATGCGGTTTGTGGCCTGCATGTGATGGTGAGGATAAGTTTTTGTGCGCTTTTGTTTAGTCTTAATGATATTTTTCACAAAATATTATTTAAAAATTTCTAGTTGCTACTATTATTATATGTTTCTGGTTACATTTGTATTTTCTAAATATTGCAAATAATTAAAACTCCTCTAAATTTCAAATAATGTTTTTTGGGGTTTCACTTAATTAAAAATTTTATTGCTTTGTGAGTTTCGCTGGAGGTCCCAGAATGTTTTCCGTTAATAGAAATCGAATTTGAATGTAGACGGTGATGATTGAGGGCCGCAGGGAAAGGAAATGTGAAATTTGATGTTGGTTGTCGGTATTGCTGAAATAAGAAGAAAGAGAAAATGAGAACATTTTTAATGTCAATGTATATTTCAATTTAATAAAATCTAATGTGTTTATCTTATGAATACAGTGGAATACTTTATCATTCATCACAACATGTTCAAACTCTTTATATCCTATCATTCAAAATTGTTCAAATTTTGGAAAGCGGGTTCCACTGTTCATGGCTTCACTCAAGGCCATTCAAGCGTTCATATTCTTTGCCAGATAACAATTTGTTATAAATTACGGCACATTTCTTATTCATTGTTTAAATATCCGCTTCGCCAACAATCCTCTTCTGGCAATTGGGAAGTGAATGATGAGCAAATCTGATGGAAAAATAAATGGGTAACTGATGGAACAACGAGTGAAACTGAAGATGAAAGAAAAAACAACAAACACGAAACTCGTAATCATGAAATTAACAACAAACAAAAGAAGTTACTCCTTCAAAGTGCGCTAACGGTTGCGGTTGAATGACAAAAGGGACAAAATAAAGGGCTAGAGAACGGCGAAACGAATTTCGTAACACAACAAAGGGAAATGAAAACAATTTATTATGGATTTCAATGCGTCGTTGTCCACCACTCACTTTCTGTGTCTCTTTTTGTCTCTTCCTGTCCTGCGCTACCATGGACTGTTTGCCACTCTGTCTGGTGATAATAAAAAATAATGGATACATTTACAACATAGACATACTTTGGTCCCATGTCAAACAACCGCCTGGAACTCTTTTTTATCGGCAAGTGTTTTTGTTGTTGTTTATGTCGTGAAAATGGCATCAATAAAATCGTAATTTGTCAAATGCTCGTCAAACCCATCTTCATGAATGACGAATGATAAATAATAATAGACCGCAAATTCGGAAATTTTTGAAGTGATGGTTGCATAAATAATCTCTTTGAATTGAATACAATTACTCGAGTTTACAGTTTATTTTGGAATTAAATAAAAACATTACTAGTAAATAATTTGAATCATTTGTGAACAATTTAAATAAATAACTTTACAATCATCAAAATAGTTCCAGGAAAGACAAAAAGGAATATGAATTTATGTATATGGAGGAGTTGTATGTATATTTCATATATAATAAAATTAATAATAAATTCCGATAAATATTGCATTAGATGTATATGAGGGCTATATCAAATACACTTCTAACCCAAACTTGACTAAAAATAATGTAAAGAAAAAAACGCTTGACTGTGAATAATTTGTTGTTGATCGAATAGATAGATGGGTAAAATTTGAGTTGAATAGATAATCCATTTGAATATGATATATGAGCCAAATAAATGAGATATTTCATGCGTGGACATACGGACTGCTTGGAAAGTAATGCTAAGATTATGGTTAAATAATAACTCCATATATATAATGATAGTTTCATCGTCCCTCATGAGAATAAAAAGTTCGCCCCGGTAATGTTGCTTATCTCGTGTTGACTTTAGGAATCAATCGATCATTTGTTGCAAGACCGGCATAAAAAACCATTAAGAAACGTTCGAAAGTCGGACAGGCCGACTATATGATACCCTTCACCACTCACAAGAGATGCTCATATGCACAATATCCTCTAGATAGAATAGTCATGGCATCTTTGGAGGACCATTGAAATGGAATCGGTCGAAGTTAACCACATGATGCATATTTGAACTAAAAACATCCCATACACATCCCGATCTGATATGTATGAAAAATTGAATGTCAATCATCGAGCAAACTATGTATTAGATCTATATATAAATGGACGTGTTTGAGCAACCGTGGCATCCATCATTTGGTATGTTGCAACACAGTGCGCTATCCAAAATTTATCTCGACACAAAATCCATGTTATTCTAGCTTCGATTTGGTACGTTGTGTACTAATTCGTCTTAAGCGGACAAACTTTAGTTATTTGGTACATCATTTTGATGAAATCTGATGAAAATATATATGAAAGCTATATCTAAACCTGAAATGTCATCAATCCAATACGCTATGCAATATTTCATGTAAAGCGAACAGACATAGGCTCCTCCATTTGCGCCATTAGCATAAAATCGAACGAAAATATATGAGGGAACTATATCTACATCTGAACCGATTTCAACAACAAAATATCGTGCAAATAGAACATTTACATAAAATGGGACTAAAATATATATGTGAACTATATTTAAATCTGAACCGATTTCAAACTTGACAAAAAACATTCTAGACTAAATTTCATACCCGCTGCTAAATTCGGTGAATGTAGAACAAAAATAAACTCCTCGGTGCGCCATTTAGGAGAGAGGGGCACCTTTGAACACTTTTTTTCTTTCAAGCCTCATACATTTTTTTTTATGTTATAATTTTTGGTTTCTTATAAGTTTTAACTAATAGGTACATATGTAACCTTTAAAATGAATATACATATGACATACTTTAAGCTTGATATACATATTTTATTACTGTTTAAATGGACGAAGTCAAAGTGTTCAAAACTGCCCCCTAGGGGACACCTTTGAACAAAGCTTGGTATTTTTGAACGGCATGGTTTTTTACAGTGTTTATGTGTTGTATTCATATATATCAGAAATGCATTTATTTATTAAAAAATATATACAAAAATATTTGAAAGTTAAAAAATGCTGATAAAAAATTATTAAAACATAATATGACATAAAAACAAAAATTTATATGGTAAAAATACAGCTAATTTCGTAATCTTATTAGCCCATTTGAAATTTTTGAGAAATCTGGGGGCTTCAATATTATAAGAAAAATCACCATTAAATATTGCTGAAAATGTTAAAATGTTAATTTTTTTGACTGCAATTTAATATTTCTGGTCGTCAGTAGTTTAGAATATATCATTGAAAATATTGTTTGCGCATTTATTTGTAATATGCCCTATATAAGTATCCCATCCATTTTTGTTTACATCAGAAGTTGAGACCAGAGTTCCCTAGTTAATCGCAATAGTATAATTCCACGTGGGGTCGGATGGAGGTTAAGCAAAGTTCGGCCCGGCCGAACTTAAAACATTTTCCATTTGTTTGATTTATGCCGGTCTTGCAGCAAACAAGCGGTATAACGTATATAATTATCCTGACTTTTCTGCACTAATTTGGTTTCGTGGAGGCCTATGGAAAATAAAAATATTACGATGTGTAAAAGTTTTTATCAAATCGGATACCCATATCGCTTGATATTGGATACACAAATTTTGGAACTTTATGGGTGAGGTACTAGAAGAAGTGGACCTGGAGGTCCACTTGATCTAGGTTAGTTGAAATATAGCAATGTGTAAATTTTTGAGAAATTGCCTTGTTGACCACGAAGCCAGGCGCCAACGAAACGAACTTCTCATTGGGGTCGTATCGCTGGTAACGTAAGAACTTCGAATTGTCACAAGAGACATTTGGGTTTGAAAGGTTTTTTGTAAAGAAGCTATTAATAGCTTCTGGGAGAATATCCCAACAAAAAACTAAGGGAACTGATGAGGATCAGTGGCGAGATCCGAAACTATAGTCTTCCCTGCCTTACCCCTCGGCGGACAATGCCATACATTCCCCACTAATAAATAGTTGTTTTTTATAAAAACAACAAACTGGGATTAAGCCTGACTATTTTGCAAAAACAAAATACAAATGGTATCCCAAATAACCCGCCAAACACTACTGAAATTGAATATTCCATTCACTTCACATGAAATTTAGAAATGTTCGAATTTTGTTGCCTTGTGGGGAAAATATAGTGACTAGGTTAAAATATTAGATGTTCAAATCGGATACTCTGTGCGCATGACATTATAAAATTAAATTTAAGCTAAGTTTGGACCATTTTGTGGGGGAGCATCAGAGTAAGTGGACCGATATTCCCTACCATCAAACTTGCTTTAAGTTTGAAAGAAATATTACCAGGCAGGCGTATGGAAATTTTTTCTTAATATGAGGGAATAATATCAAATCATTGGGTGTCGATAATACATATATTTCACGGTTTGTATTAGTAAAAACAGACGTTTATATATATAAATATAATAATTTACATATATTACTAAACAATAAACACATATATGTATGAGATCGCAGTAAACATTTTAACAAGCCTAATTGGATTCAATAATTTTCATTTACAACATTTTCAAAGGCTGAGTTCTGCCACCCCTTGTCGTTTTTTCTCAAAATAATAATTTAAAAACAATTTATTTAACAATTTACATTGATTTATGGGATATTTAAATGTTTCTGCTGCAATTCATAAAATTCAATTAACTTTACACCAACAGACTGACAGAGCGACAGTCAAGGTCGATACAATTTTCGTTTTTTTTTTGTGCGTCAACAGTAAACAACAGCAAATGAACTGAATAAACAATTAGATAGCAATAAATTTTTCATAACCAAAAAAGAAGAAAAGAGCCTCAAAAAGGATAATAAATTTCATTTGAGCGACAAGAAAACAG